GCATGTTTCTCAGCATGTAATCTCTCAAATTAGTAAATGGAGAGTTCAAATTGTAGCTGATTGCTTCAAGATTGGCAGGAGGTTCCACTTTATAAACCTTTTAAACATGATTAGTCATCCATTTGTTTGAATGGAAAGCAGTGCTTTTTAACTTTTCAGGGTAGATTTAAGTCCTTTTTACCTTTGTGTGGGTCACTATAACATTATTAAGATAAGTAATATATTTATTAAGTAATCTTAATAATATTTTAAAATTATTTTCAAACACATGCATCACATTGCTGGGATATTATATTAGAGTTCTGGTGTGGCACTGCAGGATACTGTGTTGGACTGCAAGGTCAGTTTGAGGTGCAAGGACAGCAGTTCAAACCCACTAGCTATTCCTCGGAAATCCTATACAGGGTTGCTATGAGTCAGAACTGACTTGATGACATTTGACAATAACAACAACAATAACATATTGGTTAAAAAAAATTAAAGAACCCAATGCTTACTTTATAAACATTTCTTAATGGGATTACTTAATATACTTTGACTTTTTTTTCTTTCACAAGTTGTTTTTTTTTTTTTTAATGAAGAACACTATTTATTCTACATCTGGAGCAAAGGTAAAATTGTTTTAGAAACATAGTAAAATAAAACATCCTTTAACATAAGTGTTAAGAAAAAATAGAATTTATAATAGTTTTTGTCATATTAAAAATACCCTTAAGGAATACCTGTGTAAGATATGTGGTTAATATAAGAGAGACTCTTGGATAATTTATTTTTATGTACACCAGTAACTCCCTCCATGGAGTTCTGGTGTGGCACTGTGGGTTAGTGCACTGGACTGCAAAGTCGGCTTGAACCGCAAGGTCGGTGGCTTAAGCTCACCAGTTGCTCCCTGGAAACCCTTTATAGGATTGTTGTTATGGGTCAGAACCAACTTGACAGCAGTTAGCAACACCTACATAGCTCCCTAACACCATCAAATTACTGACTTTGCCTCTCTACACAGGAAAACCTGAAAATAATAAACTGTCCCTACTGAGTAAACTATCGGAGATCTCAGTGCACATTCGCAAGCTTTCATGAGTGAACTATGTAATTTCTAAAATTTATATGAAAAGATTCTGTTCCACGTTGCTCCAGCTTGGTAATTTTTGTTGCTATGGGAATAGGCTTCCTTGTTGTATTGCCTTCAACTAATATTAATTACAAATGTATTTTACTATCAACAGTTAATTTGGCTTAAAAGAAATTATAGAAAAGATCACAGCTGTTAAGCAGTGAAAGATTTCTAGATAGTCTCTGAAAAATCAGTTTGGGTTGATCCTGACAGTTGTAGCCTGTTGTTGTTAAGTGTTGTTGGAGTTCGTTTTGACTCTTAGCGACCCGGTCTGTATAAGGATTGAGGCTTTAAATCTTCAAGGGAGCAAAAAGCATCATCTTTCTCCCGAGAAGCCAGTGACGAGCTCAAACTGCAGACACTGTAGTTTGCAGTCCATTGCTTATCGTATAGAGCCACTGCACTTTTAGGTTTATCCTAGATGATGCAAAGTTCTCTCAGTTCTTTATGTCTTTCTGTTTTAGTTTTTCTTCTGATTTTATATTTTTCAATATTGTTATTTTAAAACTAGTATGTTTTTCAATATTATTTATTAAGATGCTTCTATTTGATAGGTATCATTCATACCTCTTGGGAACAATGAACAAAATAGTTAAGCTTCTTTTTCCCATGGAGCTGACCTTCTAGTGGGAAGTGGGTACACACAATACAAACAACCATAACAGATGAGCACAGTAATATAAGAGTATCGTTAAGTGTTGCAGAGTCATTAATGAAGGACAGTATAATGGGATGATAGCGCTCCCTTAGATTCATGATCAGTTTAATCATACTTAGAGTTTATGCTACAAAACTAACTGGTCTGGCATTTGTTTTACTGTTACTTCTTGTTTGCAATGGCTGCCTCTTAACTTGATTCTAAATGCTTTGAAATTCATTTTATATTATACTCTTAATTTTTGTAAAATAACAAAACCAAACCCTCTGCTGTAGACTTGATTCCTACTCATACCAACCCTATGGGACAGAGTAGAAATGCCCATAGGGCTTCAAAAGCTGTAATATTTAAGGAAGCAGACTGCCTCATCTTTCTCCCAAGAAGTAGCTGGTGAATTTGAACTTTTGACCTTTTAGTTAGATTGAGCACTTAATCATTGTGCCACCAGGGCTTCTGCTGTGGACTTGGTGGTGGTGGTTATGTGCTGTGAAGTCGGTTCCAACTCATAGTGACCCTGCACAGGGTTTCCGAGGCTATAGGTCTTTATGGGAGCAGAAAGCCTCATCTTTCTCCCGCGGAACAGCTGGTAGTTTCAAACTGCTGACCTTATGTATGGTTCACAGCCCTATTTATGGGCTTAGTGGATGTTTAATACATTTTTTTCCTCTAATGAACTGATTTGTTTTTGTTTTCCTAATGCCCCTGTCCTGTTTCTGGGCCTCCCTCTTCCGTTTCCTTGAATGAGACATTTAGGATTGCCTTTTTGTTCATAATTTTCCAGTGGTAATACTTCTGCTGTTTATCTCCTGAGTTTTCCTGGCCCCTCTTGTGTGGTTCTCTTTGACAGAATCTTAGATTTCCAATTCTGCTCTTTTCTCAAAGGCCCACTTTGAGTCCATGGGAAACACTTGCGCATCCTCTGTTGAAAATAGCTTTAATTATGGGCTGGTCTTAAAGTAACCACCTCTGCTTCTCACTTTTGGTAGCTGGTTTCTTGTTGGTGTTAGTGGAGTTGGTTTTGACTGATAGCTATCTTATGTACAAAAGAATGAAACATTGACTGATCCTTACAGTTGTTGTCTTATAGTTTATGCCCATTGTTGCTGCTACTATGTCACTTCATCTTGTGAGGGGTCTTCCTCTTTTTTTTCAGACTCTACTCTATCAAACATGATGCTCTTCTCCAGGGACTGGTCCTTTCTGACAACATGCCCAGATTATGAAAGACAAAGCCTCACCGTCTGGCTTCTAAGGAACATCTGGCTGTACTTTTCCAACACAGATATGTGTGTTATTGTGTCAGTCCATGTTCTTTGCCAACACCATGATTCAGATGCATTGATTCTTCTGCAAATTTCTTGTTCATTAACCAACTTTCCCATGGATATGAGGCAGTTGGAGACACTATAGCCTGAATCAGGTGCAATTTAGTTCTCAAACTGACATCTTTGTTCTTTAACCATTTAAAGAGGTCTTCTGTTGGAGATTTACCCAATGCGGTATGTTTGATTTCTTGACTGCAGCATCCAAGAATCTTGATTATGGATCCAACCAAAATAAAGTCTTTGATAACTTCAATCTTTTCTCCATTTATCATAATATTCCTTATTTGGTTCAGTTGTGAGGATATTTGTTTTGTTTACATTGAAGTACAATCCATACTGAAGACTATCCTGTGTCTTTGATTCTCATCATAAGTATTTTGAGTCTACTTTGCTTCTAGCAAGCAAGGTTGTGTTATCTGCATGTTGCTGGTGTTAATGAGCCTTTCTCCAATTCTGATGCCTTTTCTTCATGTAATCCAGCTTCTTGGATTATTTACTCAGCATACAGATTTAATAAATAAATATGGTTAAAGGATACAACCCTAGCACACACCTTTCCTGATCTTAAACCATTCTTTATCCTCTTGTTTTGTTTGACCTACTACCATTTGGTCTATGTATGGGGCTCCTCATGAGCTCAATTATGTGTTCTGGAATATGCATTCTTTGCAGTGTTATCTTATAAATTATTATGATCTACACAGTTGAATGACCTTGCATAGCCATTAAAGCACTTATGTTATTCTCTGGTTCAGCCAAAATTCATCAGATGTTAGCAATTATATCCCTTCTTCCATGTCCTCTTCTGAATCTGGCTTGAATTTTTGACAGCTCCCTGTCAATGTACTGCTGCAAATGTTTTTAAGTTATCTTCAAGAAAATTTTATTTGCATGTGATAATAATGATATTATTAGATAAGTTCCACATTCTGTGGAATCACCTTTGTTTGAAATTGGCACAAATAAGAATCTTTTCCAATTTATTGATGAGATAGTTGTCTTGCATATTTCTTTGCATAGACAAGTGAATGACTCTAGTGCTGCATCAGTTTGTTGGAATATTTCAGTTTGCATTCAATCAATTCATGGAACTTTGTTTTTTGCCAATGCCTTCAGTACAGCTTGGATTTCTTCTTTCAGTTCCCTTGGATCTTGACCATATGCTATCTCATGAAACAGATGAGCATCAACTGAAGCTTTTTTTTGTACTTTGAGTCTGTTTTTACCTTCCATCTTCACTTGATGCTTTCTGCATCATTCAATATTTGGCCTGTAAAATCCTTCATTATTTCAACTTGAGGCTTCCAATTTATCTTCAGTAACACACAAGCCACCACAGTATAGCAAACTAACAGATGACTACTGGGTTTTCAGGTTTTATCTTGTTCACGTGTGTAGCAGGCTGTAGTGCATTATATCTGCCATGCTCACATATGAGTGCTCCCATGGGTCCCTTCACTAGACATGAGGATTGAGGGAAGAGTAGATATTGACATAGAAACTTTCCTGAGTGTACTCTTCCCCAAAGCTTGTTCCCTAATCTCCATTAGTTGTAGCAGCCTCGCTTTAGTAGATGGAGGTGGGAGCCCCTTGTTGTTTGCCTGCCACCTTTGTAGGTATTGAATTAGAAATCTTGTGCCTTGTTTTAGATGGTGGCATCTGTGTTCTTTAAAAAGTGATGATAATGTTGGGAAGTTATTGAAGTAAAATTTTATTTGATGAAATATTAGAAACAATACTGTATTTCACTTTTTTGGTTAGTAACATAAATGGATTTTTAAATGTATAATTCTATATCTTCATGCTTAAAGACATATTTTAACTTAGTCATTGTAATACTTTCTGTTCACTGTTTTCAGGACAGTTTACATTTCTGACTTGCCTGTTTTTTTTTAAATCACAGGATGAACTAAATGCGCCAGGCAGTTCAGCTGACCTGTTCCACTGGACCACTGCTAAGACCATGAAAGTTCTTTCCAACACCACAACCACCACCAAGGCAGTGCTGCAAGCTGTCAGTGATGGGCGTTGGTGGAAGAAGTCTTTAACTTACCTTCGACCCCTTCAAGTAGGCAGTGCTGCTGGGTTGTTTGTTTGTTTTTTAAATCAGTCACATGTGGTTTATATCCATTCATCAGCATCGTTCTTCACTGGTTTTCACGATTGTTACATATTTATTGTCTCAAGATTATTGACATAATCTCTTAAGTACTCTTTGCATCCTATCAGGTAGAAAATGCTTAATCTATTTGATGTGAGGTAATATACTCGTAAGAAGTACAGTCAGCTCTTCCTAACTACAGGCTCCTCATCTGCAGACTCAGCCAACCACAGATTGAAAATATTGGGGAAACTGGGCTCCTAAAAATCATAGAATGGTCACAGTAACCCTTCAAAGGCTAAGAGGGTTGGTTAAGTGCTGCATGTACATTGTATTAGGTATTTTACTGATAATTTAAATTATATGAAGAATGTGCGTAGATAATAAGCTAATACTGTTGTTTTTAAGTGCCGTGGAGATGTTTGTGATGCACAGGACAACAGAACTATTGTGTGCTCTGGCACCATCCTCACCGTCTCTTTTAGGTTTCAGCCAATTATTGTACTCACTACATCAGTCCATTCTTACTGAGGACCTTCTTTTTTCACTGACCCTCTCTTTCATTATACCAATTAGGATGTCTTTCAGGGATTAGTCCCTTCTCATAACATGCCCAAAGAATATAAGATGCAGTCTGACCATCCTCGCTTCTAGGGAGCATTCTTGGCTATACTTTTTCCAATATAGATTTATCTAATCTTCTGGTAGCCATATTCTTCACCAATACCATACTTCAAAGACATCGAGTCTTCTTTGTGTGTGTGTGTGTTTTTTTTATTCATTGTTCAGCTTTCACATCCATGTGAGGCATATATGTTGTTGTTGTTATGTGCCATCAAGTCAGTTCTGACTCACAGTGACCTTGTAAAGGGTTTCCAAGTAGTGGCTATTGAGTCTGAACCTCCATCCTTGCAGTTCAAACTGACCTTGCAGCCAGTACATTATCCTGGGCAGCCTTCAAAAGTTTGTTGCAAATTTTCCGTATCATTTAATTCCATTTTCCCACAACTTTTTGAAGCCTCCTAGTTCTGTGTCATTTTATGTAAGGGGTTTTGATTTTGATATCTGTAGGGGTCCTGAAACAAATATCCTCAGAGATACCAAGTGAAGATTGTACTTGCAAAGGTCACTTGATAAGATTTGAGTAAGATTTAACTTACATGTCAAAATTAAAAATTTTCTGAGACAAAATAAAATCATTTTGTTTATATTTGCTAGTTTTTGCTGTATTTTTATAGACCAGTAGTCTATAAAAAGTGCTAGGAGCCAGGTTGGGTGCTGTGAGCAAAGAGTGCAGTTTAATAGATTATTTTCTACCATATGGGAAACAGAGGTTAAGGTAGTTGAGTGAGTTATGCTTTCTTTGACATTTTAACCCATTGATTGCTCCTCTGTTGCCTTATCTGTATCCTCACAGTGAAATCCTTTAGTTTTTACAGTAGAAAACCAAGAGAAAATAGAAACATACATCTCTTTTTTATCAGTTCCCTCTAAATTTTCATTGAGTATTGTATTCATTCATTCATTAAATATTTATCAGGCATTGTCTATGTGTAAGTACCATGCTGGCCTCTGGAAATTTAGTCTAATTTAACTCCCCTGTGGAACTTATATTTCAGTAGGAGAAACAAAGATGCACACAACATATTTATGTAATGTAATGGCAGGTGGTAATGAATATTATGAAGACAATTTAAGTAAGGTAGCAGGAATAAGAAATGGTATTGGCAGAAAGCAGGGTTGTTTTAGATAGGGAAGTAAGGTTTCTCAGAGGAGAAGTCATTTTGAGCCAGAAGCTGATTGAGACAAGTAAAGTAACTGCAAAGCCCCTGTGTAGTAACCATGCTTAACATTTTTGCAGAACATAAAGGTGGCCAACCTGAGCAGTGGGGAGACTGAGAGGCAGTGAGATCAGGAAGGTGGTCTGGAACCCTTATAAAATCTTATAGAAAATGATAAGGACAGTAGATTTTATTCTGGGTAAGATGGACAGCTTTTGGAGAAATTTAGGAGTACGCTTATTTGATCTGACTTTACTTTTAATTAGATTAACTACTTTGTGGAGAGCTGACTATAGGGGATCAATAGTTAAAGCAAAGGGGCAGGTTACTATTACCCTGAGTGGGAGATGATGATGGTTTAGACTTGAGTGGTAGCAGTGATGGAAGTGGGAAGTGGTTGGTTTGAGGATGTATTTGGTGGCCCTGCTCCTGTTCTGCATATGGATTATGTCATAAAGGGGAGGAGTAACAGTGATGGCCCAAACAACTTGGACATGAGATGATGTATGTTTATCTTTGGATAAATCTCTGTCATTCTTATCATTGCAATGTGTTATACTGGATTATGGTTACTTTATTGTCTCATCTGTTGGACTTTGAAATTTTTAAATGTAAAACACCTCCTACTATATAAGGAGGCTTCAGAAAGTTCACGGAGAAATGGAATTAAGAGAATGCCATTTTTCCATGAAATTTTTGAAGCCCCCTCATATATTATTGTTCCTGATGTTGTTGTTCAGTGCTGTTGAGTTGATCCTGACTCACAGTGACGCTGTGTAGGGTCTCCAAGGAGTGGCTGGTGAGACTGAATCACCGACCTTTTGGTTCATACTGATCTTGTGGTCCATTGCCTTATTTTACAGTGCTACATATAAGCTGTAATATTTATCATCATTTATAACACCAGATTTCCATTTTTCCTGAGACTGTGCTTGGCATAAAATAAGTGCTCAATAAACTTTGTAGGAATGGGTAAATGTATTTTAGTTGACTCTTCTAGTAAGGAACTTTAGAGTTTATTTGAAGAGAGTAAAATGTAAAGGTAATTAACTACTCTAGGGATATTAAGGTATTTACTAAGGAGGAATACTGATGACATGTCTTGAAAGCATTCCTGTGGATTTCAAAGAAAATTGCATTGGGCATTTTTGAACAGGCAAGGATGACTTTATTGAAATGCTGTGGCAATAGGGGAGAGAGACTAGAACTAAACACTCAACTCCATTGAAAACAAAGGGAAGAAGGATACTTAGGGGATACAGTGGACTGGAGGCGAATTATAAGAGGCTGTCAGAGAAATTGATTAGGGGGTGGGTGCGTGACTTACTGGCTTAGGATGCTTTCTTTTGCTGTGACTATGTTGTGTGTGATCCTGTCAGATTAGGTTTGAGCAGGAAATGAGGCAGGAAGCAGCCTGTCTAAAATTTATTAAAGCTGAGGGGAACAGTAAGGTCATCGTGGCCATAACCTGTTTCATGTGTGGCCTCAAGGTAAACGGTAGCTAGTCCTTAAGTGGGACTCCTGGTGTGGCTCTGTGGGATCAGTCCTAGACTGCGAACCACAAGGTCAGCAGTTCAAACCCACCAGCTGCTCTTTGGAAACCCTATATGGGGTTGCTATGAGTCAGAACCAACTTGATGGCACTTAACAACAGTCCTTAAGTAAGAGGACTTGACAGACCATATATCAAACTTAGAGGCAAAACAAACCCACTGCCACTGAGTCAATTTTTACTCACAGTGACCCATGTAATAAAAGCCCCAACTCACTGCTACCAAGTTGGTTCTGACTTAGAGCAGCACTATCTAGGCTTTCTGAGTCTAAATCTTTACAGGAGCAGATAGCCTCATCTTTCGTCTGTCAAGTGGCTAGTGGGTTTGAACTGTCAACTATTCAGTTAGTAGGCCAAAGCTTAACCCACAGGGCCATCAGGGCTCTTTAGAGACCAACATTGTTATTATAAAATGCAGTCAAGCAATTCTGACTCATAGTGACGATGTATAGGGTTTCCAAGGAGCAGATGGTGGGTTTGAACTGCTGACCTTCTGGTTCGCAGTCCTGTGCTGAAACTAGTGCCGCACCAGGAGTGCTAGTGACTCAACAAGTTGCTGTTCTTAAAGTGCCGTTGAGTTGGTTCTGACTCCTAGTGACTTGTATGTGATTTCCAGGGAGCAGCTGGTGAGTTTGAACCCTGACCTTGCGGTTCAAATGGACCCAATAGTCCAGTGCATTACTGCCGCACCACAGCAGTTTCACCAACAAGCCACGTTGTTGTTGTTATGTGCTGTGGAGTCGGTTCCTACCCAGAGCGACCCTGTACAGGGTTTCCAAGGCTATAAATCTTTACAGGAGCAGAAAGCCTCATCCTTCTGCGCAACCGCTGGTAGTTTCGAACTGCTGACCTTGAGTTTAGCAGCCCAACTCGTAACCATTACGCTACCAGAGCTTAGTTAATCCTAAATTGACCTGGTAATTGGAGAATCAAGTGATAGTTATCTGTGCTTGCTAATTTACTGTATCCAAATGTAAGATAAACATATCTATATGACAGGAGATAGTTTTGCATCTTTGAGTAAAGCACATACCACCCCACAGAAATTGGGATACAGGAGTGCTCACTTTTTAATGGTTGCATTTTCAGTGAGAAGGCTCCCAGGTCCTTGAGGGAATATCCTTGGGTTGTAAAACTGGCAAGGGACTTACTTAGAATTTACATTCATTCCAAAAGGAGTCCTCAGGGAGTGCCTCAGTGGTTATGTGCCAATTTGATTCCACCAACTGAAAGATGTGGGATTCTGCTTCCATAAAGAGTTACAATTTTTTAAAAACCTATGGGGCAATTTACTCTGTCCTTTAAAGTCGCTGTGAATTGGAATCAACGGGACAGTTTTTTGTTTTTTGGGTTTTTTTTGGTATATGTTTAAAAAATATCCGAGAAAAGACTTAGATTTTTCTAAAGTAAATGGAGCAGATGTCTTACCTGTTTTGCCCCCAGCGGAATTAATTTTTTCTTTTTTGATTTGTGTGCTGCTGAAGAATAAGCATTCGACCACAAGGTCAGTTTGAACTGCAAGGTCAGTGGTTTAAACCCACCAGCCGCTCCTCAGAAACCCTATCCAGGGTTGCTATGAGTTGGAACCAACTGGAGAACACTGAACAACAGGAGCATACAAGTATTTTCCCTTACAACAGCCATGTGTCTTAAGTAATAATAAGTAATAATGATATATGGAAAAGGCTAATCCCTGCAGTAAGCTGTTTCTTGAAAGACAAAGAGCTGAGGGGATTTCTTGTTGTTAAGTGCTGACAAGTCGGTTCCAACCCATAGCAACCCTGAACAGGGTTTCCGAGGCTGTAAGTCTTCACGGGAGCAGAAAGCCTCTTCTTTCTCCTGCAAAGCGGCTGGTAGTTTCGAACTGCTGGCCTTAAGGTTCGCAGCCCGATTCATAACCACTGAGCTATCAGAGCTCCTTGAAGGGATTTCTTAGTATTTGCTATTTTTCAGTAACACAGAGCTCAAGTCTACAATAGCACTGACTTGGTGATGGTTGTAGAGGAAGTAGGAATAATAATGAAAGGTGTCAAATTGTATTGGTCATGCTTCAGTCTGCTAAGGTTTCTGAGCCTGGAGTGGCAGGGCAAGTAGGATCTAACCAGGTAGTCATCATGGACAAAACATTCACAGTGGGAGAATCCAATGGAGACCAGTATGATATATAAAATGAAATCAGTTTGGGTGGAGAGGAGAGTTTGTGAAGGAGAATAGCAGAAGATGACATTTTTAAAAATACATTGGGGCCAGATTATAGAACAACTAAATTCTGATTTCATGTGGTTGGGTGTTAGCATTGCTCAGAACTACTGAAGGTCTTTTGAGCAGGGGAGCAGCATGTATGCAGTGATGTTTAGAATGATTATTCTTACTATTATATAGAAAACTGGCCAGGCCTATCACACCAGTTGAGTCTGTGTTCCTGATTCATTGATGTCAAAATGATCAGGGAAGCCAAAAGGTGCTATAGGGTGGAGATGAAGTACGATTGTCAGAATGTAGTCATTACATTCTCTGCTGGGTAGCTGTGTCACTCTGACACTCTTTAGATCACAGAAAGCACAGTTATAGGGCTCTCAGTAAATTAGCTTCTCTCTCTTTTTCAGTCTTCTTAATTCATTGTTGTTCACTTTGTTCTACTCAGGGACAAGAATTCGGTGGTACTTATCAAATTGGAAACATAGCCAATAAAGGTCTAGAAAAACAAGGCTGTCATCCATTTTATGAATCTGTACTCTCCAGTCCTTTTGTCACTGAGGTAAGCATAATGTGCCTAAAATCCTAAGACTTAACTGTAATACTGTTTGGGGCAGTTTAGTTTTAAAAATTGTTTTTCTGAGAAAGTAAGTGGTTTTTCTTGGGTCTTGCTTATGTTATTGGCTTCATGTCATCTGTTTGACATTTCATGAGATTAAAGTATATTTATAATTTTGATTTCAGTTGGAAATTGTTATTCATATCATCAGAGAATAGATAATGGTGTTTAAAAAAATACGTGTTCATAGAAAGAATGCTAATGTATGCTCACCACCCTATGAATTCATTTAACTGCCTCTTTTTTTGTTTAGTCTGAAGGAACCTATGACACCTATCAGCACATCCCAGTAGAAAGCTTTGCAGAAGTATTACTGAGAACTGGAAAACTGACAGAGACAAAAACTGAAGGAGAAGAAGTATTTCCAACAACAGAAGGTAAGAAATCTAGCTCCTTGTTGTGTATAACCCACAATGTTGTTAAATGCCATTGAGTTGGTTCTCACTCATAACTACTCTTTATAGGGTTTCTATGGGGTGGCTGGTAGGTTTAAACCATCAACTTTGTGGTTAGTAGTCTAGAGCTTAGCCTACAGTGTCACACCAGTACTTATCACTCATTTTAGAATAGTAAGTAAAATATATGTCTGAATGAGAGTTAACACTTTGGTTCTTGAGTCAATTTTGACTCAGTCAGACCCTGTTGTTGTTAGGTGCCGTTAAGTCGGTACCAACTCATAGAAACCTTACTCCCAACAACGAAACACTGCCTGGTCCTGCACCAACCTCACTATCATTACTACGCTTGAGCCCACTGCTGCTGCCACTGTGCCAATCTATCTCTTTGGTGGTCTTCCTCTTTTTCGTTGACCCTCCCCTTTACCAAGCGTGATGTTCTTCTTCAGGAATGGGCCCCTCCTGATTATATGTCTGAAGTACTAGAGACAAAGTGTGGCCATCATGGCTTTTGAATTTCACTGTACTTTTTCCAGCACAGATTGGTTTGTTCTTTTGGCAGTCCAAGGTACTTTCAATATTCTCTTCCAATACCATAACTCAAATGCATCAACTCTTCTACTGTCTTTCTCATTCATTGTCCAGCCTTCACATGCAAATGAGGCTGTTAAAATGACCATAGTTTGCATCAGGTGCACCTTACTCTTCTAATGGACATTTTTGCTCTTGAACACTTTAAAGAGGTTTTTTACAGCAGACTTGCCTAATAAAATACATTTGATTTCATGACTGCTTCTTTTCTAAGTGTTGATGGTTGACCTGAGCAAAACGAAGTCTTTGACAACTTCAATCTTTTCTCCATTGGTACGGATATTATATATTGTACCAGTGGTGAGAAGTTTTGTTTTCTTAACATTGAGGTACAAGACAGACTGAAGACGGTGGTCTTTGATCTTTATCAGTAAGTATTTTATGTCCTCTTCACTTTTAGCAATCAGGGGTCTATCATCTGCATATTGCAGGTTGTTAATGAATCTTTTCCAATCCTGATGCTATGTTCTTCTTAATATAATTCAACTTCTTATATTATTTGCTCAACATACAGATTGTATAAATATGGTGAAAAAACACAACCCTGGGTCACAGCTTTCCTAGTTTTAAACCAAGGAAATACAGACGTGCAGGGTCTCCAAGACTGTAATCTTTATGGAAACAGACTACCATATCAGTCTCCTGTAGAACAATTAGTGGGTTCAAACTGGTGATCTTTCTTTTCAGTTCCTAGCTAAACACTTTAACAACTATACCACCTGGGTTCGTTGTATGAGAGTTTGGGGTGGTGGGTGCTTTCCATAATTTAGAATCATTTTACTTGATGCTATCATTCATTTATTCAGTCATTTAAAAAAGTATGGACTGATTACCTACTATTTTCAGGATACTTACTAGTACTGAGAAATTAATAGGGTCGTTGTTGCTAAGTGCCATCGAGTAGATTCTGACTCATAAGTGACCCTGTATAGGGTTTCTGAGAAGTGGCTGGTGAGTTTGAACTGCTGACCTTGTAGTTAAAACTGACCTTGAGGTCGAGTACTTATCCTATGGTGCCACACCAGGACTCAAATTAATAGGATAAGTAAGGTAAAATCCTTGTGCTTGTACTGTTAATTATCTAAAGTGATTTTCAAGTGAATATATCATAGATGATGGGTTCAGAGTAGAGAACTTGATAAATACTCATTTCTTTCCTGCTTTTCTATGTTAAGAACTTAGTTATTTGCTTCATAGAATATAGATGCATATTGCATCTTAAAATTTTTCATGCTGATGGCATACCTTTCAATGTAGAAATTTTTTAAACTAAGTCAGTGAATGAAGGTTTAGCAAAAATAGCTTACTATTTACACACACTCTTTAGCCTCCTTTTTTTTTTTTGTCTCCATGAATTTAGGATGGTTTCCTAGAGTCTCTTCTTTAAATCTTTCTCTGTTCTGCTATCCTTAATGAATTTCTAAGGATTCAAAATCTCTAGCTATTTAACCTATATTCCAGATATCAGTAGAAGAGTTAAAATGGGGCAAGAAAACAGTCTTCTTGTATTTACATATTATTGGCCATCTTTAAATGCCAGTAAGCTTGGACCATGTCTTCATTTAACTGGGCACATTGCTTTTTGAAAGTAAATTCACATTGTATTATAGGAAAGACTAAATGCATACTAAATGAAAGTAAATTCACATTGTATTATAGAAAGACTAAATGCATACTGGGTCTATATAGAATTACCATTTTCCCCTCTACCTGATACTGGAATTATTTTTACATGTCATTTTCTATCAATTAATAGTTTTGCATTTGAGGAGAGAGGAGGCAAGTCCTATGTTTCCAGCTTCTTTTCCATATAGGGCCTGCTTAGTACTAGAGGCTTTATTATGTTTTCTTCATTTCTGAGATGTGTGCTTTTCTACATCTTATCATTCTGAAATCAGCATATCTCATAATTGATAGGTACATTTATTTTCAGTTATTTTCCTCCAAAAACCTATTGTTAAATTCATGGTACATTTTATAATTGATGTTGAGTAAGGATGGTGTAGGACCGGGCAGTGTTGCGTTGTATTGTGCATAGTGTCACTATGAGTGGGAACCCACTTGGTGGCACCTAACAACAACATGTAATGAAGTGTATAATTGCACTATTGTTCCCCTTTTAATTACTTTATTTTCTTTTTGTTTTATTTTCCTAAATCAGTTGACTGTATTTTAGGTTGTAATTATCATAATTGTTTGTACAGTTAGAATCACCCTTGTGGCCCAGTTTTCAGCCAAGAACTAGATAGGTATGTAGAGGGGACAACAATATTAGTAAGGTATGCTCACCATGTAATCATCAGTAATTCAAAATTAAAAAGACAACGTTTTTCATAAAGAAGATCCTAGACCATCAGTTAGAGCATGAGTGGAGCGCGCGATCCGTACCTAGAAAAGCAGCGACGGTAGAGGCGAAGGCAGAGGCAGCAGAGAGAGCAGCTCCGGGCTGTAGGCCCAAGGACTGAAGCAGAGGCCAAGAGGCCATATGGTTGAGCAGTCAAAGACAAGAGTAAGATGTGCCTACACTATGACAAACCGGAGAACTGTTGGCCCATAAGTTGATTTTGATCCTAAATTGTGCCCTGTTCACTTCCCTAATTGTGAGTATTGTTAGGAGTTCTGTGTGGCCACTGTGATGGATTGTTGAGCCTGATGTGAAATGGAGAGTGCTGTGGAATTATTGGTGTCAGAATAAGGTAAAGAAGGTTGTGGGATGAAAGTGGGTCTGACCTCTGCTTCATAGGAATTGGCCTTCGGCTGATTTTGATTTTAATTATCTTTTCCGCTTGTGAAGCCAGGTGAAGTCAGACATGGTTCCCACATGGGTTTTGTTTCAGGGACAGAAATGCAAGACTTCTGAGCCAAGTCAAGTCCTTTGAACCTTGCACTGAAAGCAGTATGCTCTTTTGCTTTACTTTTGTTTCTGTATCAATAAAACAGTCATAAGAATATGTATGTTCCTGCACTGGACTGCTCTTCTTTAATTACATAATGGTGAGAGATTCCCTCTTTTGCACCTTTGCTTAATGTAATCCCATGGCCTACATTATTTTCCTTGCTAACACAGTGCAACTATTCCAATTCATAATAACCATATAGAACAGAAGAGAACTCTGGCCCATAGGATTTTTTGAAGGCAGTAAATCTTTGTGGAAGCACACTGGTGCCTTCTCACTCAGATTGGCTGGTGGCTTTGAACTGCAAATCTTTAGGTTAGTACTTTAACCATTTAATCACTGTGCCATGAGGGCTACTAACCTTGAACTTGCTATTTGCAGTTGAATCACTTCTGACTCACAATGTCCAACAGAACAACACTGTCTGGTCCAGTGCCATCATTGCAAATGTTGTTAGGTTGGAGCTCGTTGTTGTAGTCACTGTGGTAGTCCATCTCCTTGAGGGTCTTGCTCCTTTTTGCTGACTGTCTGCTTAACTAAAAATGATGCTCTTCTCCAGGAACTGGTCCTTGCTGATAACATGTCTAAAGTACTAGAGATAAAGGTTATCCATTAACGTTTCTAAGGCACAGTCTGGCAGTACTTCTTCCAAAATTGATTTATTTGTTCAGATTTCACCACCTTTTCAAACCTACCATAGTAGTTGGCATCCTGTTTATAGTCTACAATCACATTGTTGTAACCAGCTTTGGGGTTGTCCCCTACTCATTGGGATCCCATACACAGTGGAACAGATCCCAAACCATGTCCATGATTTGACCATTGTGATCCATAGGTGGACTTGCTTAGGGTATTTTTAAGAAATACTGAACCATGAGTTCCATTGTAAACTATATTTTAGAATCTCTGGAGTAGGGCTCAAGTATCATACATTTGTTTAGAGTTCTCTAGGCTATTCTGTTATGAACCATGGTTAAGACGCTTTGTTAAGTTTCCTGGGTGTGGTTAGACCCCCCTCCTCCCCAACCATTATGTATCAGTTCCTCAAATTAACATACTTGCTCATCTGGCAGCTTGCAGAATATCATATATATATATGATTTTTTAATTTTTATTAATATATATTAATTTTATATTATTTTAACCTTCGATGTGAATTGAATGAAGGTTTACAGAACAGATCATCAGTTGTTGTTGTTTTTAATTGTTTTTTTAAGTTTTTATTGTGAATTGAGTGATATTTTACATGGGAGAGCGTCGATTTCATTGCAATGATTACAGTCTAGTCCGTACATCATCATTCAACAGTATTTGCTTCTATTCCCTTTGTGGGTTTTTTTTTTTTTTTTTTGAGGTGGCGGGGCAGTGTACACAAAACACTCAGGAATATATAATCATTTAAACAACCAAAGGGCACATTCTGCTAGCTTGTCTTTTCGCCACCAGCACACAGTGTTTTTCTTTGCATGAGTCTAGAGTCCTCAGCTGCTCCCT